CGGGACTTGCCCGGCGCGGTGACCACCTGCAAGCGCTTCCGCTCCGCCTTGGGCAGCGACTTGTCGTCGGTGACCTCCCGGACGATGGAGCTAGAAAAAGAGGAGAACGATTTAGAAATTAGAAACCCTAGAAAAAAGAACCCACCATATCTTCTCGCCGAAGGCTTCTTCAATCGCCGCAAAGGTCACCCCCTCGCAGTCTTCGACGGTGTCGTGCAGTAGGGCGGCGGCAATGACAGACGGGTCGGTGATGCCGCCCAGTTCGGTGAGCAGGGCGGCCACGCCGATGGGATGGTTGATGTAGGGAGTGCTACCGTCGGCGCGCATTTGCGTCCGGTGGGCAATGGCAGCGAAGTTGGCGGCGCGGATGATCACCGAGGTGTCGTCGTTGGAGGAGGAGGTGGTGGTGGTGGTGGTCATGGTCGTTTTGGCAGAATTTGATGATCACTTTGAAAATTGAAAATCGTGAATGTCACGCTGTACAAATTGTGAGCCAATGTCAACTTGAAAATGAAGCAAATAAATTCTTGGCAGTCTCAGAAGAAGATAATTTAGCTGATGATAATGATAAGATTTCGGTGGTGGCAGACGATCCTGTGCACTGTCGTTATCGATCAATCCTCAGCCATACCAAAAAGTAAACAAACTGACAGCAAAAAAATGCTTTTCAAACAAGTGGCCGAAATGGCATCTGCTCGAAACATTTTATGGCTGAACAAGACAGAAAGGTTATCAAAAGGAAAGATGAATGAAACAGTCGACCAGACACTGTTATCAAAGCAAGTACTGCGCCCAGACGTCCGCGCAGACGTCCGCCTTGAGGTCGACGCCAAAGGCCACCTGGTCGAGCTGACTGTCCACGAGATAGTAGGGTTTGCCGGCGGAGGCGGAAAACGGCGGCCAGAAAAGCTTTCTGTAATTTCGAAATTAGACATTCCTTTCACTAAAACAAAAACACTCACCGCTGATGGGCAAAGTAGGCGATCATCTCCATCGTCTTCAGCGACACCACCCGGTCCTCACTGTTAAAAGAGGCGGGCTCGAGAAAGGGCGCCCCAAAGAGGGCGTACATCTCAAAGGCGTGACAGGCGCCCATCCACTGGCCGCACCAGATGCGGCTGAAGGCAGCCCAGAAGGTGCTGGTCCGCGGATTGCCCTTGTACGTCCACAGGTACTGGTAGACATTGCTGCTGCCGTTCGATTTTAAGCTCCTTTCGGCGAGCAAGCTGGCGAAGAGGTTCGCCGGACAGGAAATGTAGTGGTCGCCGAGGAGGGAGGAGAGCAAACGGCTCAGCACCAGCCCTTCATCTTCAGTGTTGTTGCCTCTCAGCAGCAGTTGTTGTTGATCACTGTACAGCCGCTGCAGGTAGAACTCGACGACGGTGGCCGTCAGATTAGCGTGATCTACTTCTCTTCCTTTGGTGGTCTTCATCTTCGAAATCAGTCCTTCCACCGTCTTTTCCGCCTCTTCACGGCTGATGCTGGGATGGGCGAGCGGCCCAAAGCGGACCCGATCCTCCAGGGCCGCTATCCAGGAGCCCTCGTCGTCAGTGTAGCCAAAAAGAAGGGAAATGTTAAAGTTTGATGATGAAGCTTGATCGGCCAACAGCTCCACCTGCGACCTCGGCTGAAAGTGCCCGTCCACGACGATGGGCAGATTGACAAAAAGGCGGTCGGCGGAGAGGGACCGCTTGACGAGGGCCATCGTCGGGAGGCGATTTCGCCCGCCAGGGCCGGCTAGTACCGTCTCCATGCAGGTGAGCATCTTCTTAGTTAAAGAAGGAGGCACAGTCCGATTACTTCGAAAACAGCCCAAATGGCGCGCGTAGTTCACCCAGAAGGCGGCCACGTGTTGGGGAGTGTTGAGGGCCGGCGTCTGCAGAGGGGAGCCCGAGAGGAGCACCGCCTGTTGGAAGGTGCCCGCGGAGAGGGGCGAGGTGATGTGCATGCCCGCCGCTAAGGCCCCTGAGGACTGCCCTACCAGGGTCACCGCCTGCGGGTCGCCTCCAAAAGCGGCAATGTGCTCGCGGACCCAGCTGAGGGCGGCCACCTGGTCCAGCATGCCCAGATTAGGCGCTGGTGGGGTGAAAATAGAAATAGAACAAAAGAGGTAAACAAGGAAGTTTGGAAGGTCTTACTGATAAGATCAGAATCAGGTCCGGCGTAGGCGAAGCCGTAGAAACTAAGTCGGTAGTTGAAGGTGACCACCAGCAGGTCTCCCTGGGCGGCCAGCGCAAGGCCGTCGTAGGTCACCTCAGAGGCGCTGCCGAAGAGGAAGGCGCCGGTGTGTATGAGGACAATGACCGGTTTCTTCCTCTTGTTGCTTTCAGAATCCTNCCACCAGCAGGTCTCCCTGGGCGGCCAGCGCAAGGCCGTCGTAGGTCACCTCAGAGGCGCTGCCGAAGAGGAAGGCGCCGGTGTGTATGAGGACAATGACCGGTTTCTTCCTCTTGTTGCTTTCAGAATCCTCCTTTTTTGGTGGTAAAACGGCAGCCATCGGCGCCCAGATGTTCATGTAGAGGCAGTCGGCGCTAAAGTCGTAGTTGTGCAGGCGAAGTTGGTTGTCCGGTTGAAGGCAGGGCCGAGGCCAGCTGGTCGCCTCGAAGACTTCGGTTCCATTTGACGAGATGGTGAGGTTTGGTAGCTTTTGCGGCGGTCGAAAGCGAAGCGGCCCCACTGGTGGAGCCGCGTATGGCAGGCCGAGGAAGGCCACCACTTCGACCTTCTCCTC